CAGAAAGCAAGCAGGCAAGCGAAAGTGGTAGCGACAGCGATACCAGCAGCATCAGCAGCAGCAGCAGCAGTTCGGATACCGAATCAGAATCGAGTTCCAGCTCGAGTTCGAATTCAGAATCAGACTCGGATTCTGATTCTGATCCTGGATCCGACTCCGATACTGACGCGGAAGAGAAGGAGGCACAAGCAAACGCTGCACTGGTCAAGGTCAAGCAAGAGCCAGGAGTGAGTCCTGCAGCGGCAGCGGCAGGAGCAACAGCAGTCACGCCTGTCAAGGTGGTCAAAGCTTCTCAGAGCAACGATGAGAAAGCTGGACCAGCAGAGGCTGCAACACAGCCGGCTGTGGCGAAGAAGAAGAGCGTCGCAAAGGCTTTACTGGAGAAGAAGCTGGAAAGCGCAAAGGCGAATGCCAAAAAGGCAAAGGCGGACTCGGGTTCAGAATCAGATTCGGCATCTTCCAGCTCTGACTCGAGCTCGAGCTCTGAATCCAGTTCGTCCGACAGCTCCAGCTCCAGTTCCAGTTCCGAATCTGAGTCGGGCTCAGACTCCGATTCCGATTCCGACTCCTCGTCTTCTTCTTCCTCATCGTCCTCCTCATCATCATCATCTGCTTCCTCTTCTTCTTCTTCTTCCTCTTCTTCCTCTTCTTCCTCTTCTTCCTCTTCTTCGTCGTCATCCTCGTCGTCATCTTCAGCTTCAGCGGCAAAGCCTGCCGTCGCCATCTTGGCAGTGGAACCAAAGACGAGCACACCAGTAGTAGCAACAAGCACCGCAGCTACGGCTTCACTCCCGTCCTTGAGCGCTTCGCCCTCCGTCGACACCTCTACCGGCAAGGTAAAGCGTCAAACGGGTGTTCCCTTTTCGCGCATCAAGGCCGACGCTGTCGAGTACGCGCACGACGGCATGAGGGACATGTCATACAGAGCCCTTGTGAGTAGGCGGAGGGCCTTTGCACCTCGTATCGATTCCGTGCAAGAAACGTTTGCTGACCCGACCTATGCGTTTTACGAACATCATGCAGGCTGGAACTTCTGGCT